AGCCGCATGCACCCATGGGCTCCCTGCCTTACTGCTCCCAGACACGCTCTTAGTGTTAGGAGCTTATCTCTGGGTCTTCCCGACCCATGATTCCTCCCTGCCGCATCTAGTGATAGTGAGGCCACCAAGAGATGTTAAATCAGCCCACGGAAGCCACCCTTCCTCCTGTCCTGGGGTTTGTCCCTGCCACCTTCATTCCAGTGTGTTATTGGACATTGTCCTTGACTTTCTGGCCACCACACACCAGGTGAACCTTAGAAATTTGAGTGAACTGACCCCACCTGCCTGCACCCGGCCACCTTGCCCCCACCTACTGGGCAACCTGGGGCTTTCCATCCCAGGGGGCTGATCAGATGGCCTGGAGCGACTCCTGATCATTGTCCCCAGGCTCTGTCATTGTCCTGGGTGTCATGCCCCCCTTGTGGTCGCTGTCCTTGCACCCCCTGCCCCAGCCCCTGGTTGATACAAGCGCTGGCCTCTGCACTGGCCCCTCCCCACACCCTTTGGACCCTCCCCACACTCTCGCTCTGTCTGTCAGGGCCTTCCTGGCTTCCTGAGTCCCAGGCCTGGCCAGCTGTGGGACCCCTGCTCTCCAAAGCCAGGGGCCATCATTCCAGAGGGACCCAGTGGAGCTGGGGAGGGGCGGACACAGAGCATGTGCTTAGCCTGCTGGGGAGGGTCCGGCACCTTGCAGGGACCCTCTTGCTCTGCCCCAGCCTGGGGCTGTGCTTGTCTTACCTGGCCTGGTCCGCTGGGTCCCAGGTTGGCACATGCCTAGCCCAGGCACCTGCTAGCCCCGGACCATGGGAAATGGGGTTTCATGCAGATGTGGCACAGGACTCCACCAGTGTCCTTGGCTGTTTTAGGTGACGAACATGATTGTGCATTGAACACTGCAGTGCTTGAGAAGCAGGGGTGGAGACACCCAGCTGACACCCTCCCCACCAGCCGCTCCACCTGTCGGGGGTCCCTCCTCTGTCCTCCTTACTGCTGCTCTCAGCTGCTGTTCCTACCTTACCAGGAGGTTCCGGAGGCCCTAAACCACCCTCGATTCTGCTCAGTCTGGGGTTGTCTACACCAGACGGGAGGGAGGCAGGCAATGGCGCAGCAGCTCAGCTCCTTTTCTGGGAGGCCCCCAGGACCACACGCTGGCGACAGCGGCCTTAGCCACCACGCTTGGGCAAGGGTTCAGGTGAGCTTCGGAAGAACTGCTCCTTCATCTGACTCAGGCTCCGCAGCATTTGGTGCTTTCTTACATTTGGCACACAGTTCAAGACATCGAGGTTCCGGCCTTGTGGGACTTCGGGCTTCTGAGCCCCCCACTCTGTGTTTAGACGTGTTGGAGGAGGCCCTTGAGTCTTCCCAACCCTTGGCTGGGGAGGTGGGACGCCTACTTCTTAAAAGTTCACAGTGGACTTGACTGAGGCCAGGGAACCTTGCAGACTGCACCCACCTTCCTCAACAAAAACGTGGGTGTCTCTGGCTCAGGGCTCACTCAGGTGTGCATGCAGGCGGGCTGTCTTGTCCCAGGACTTCACCCCAAGTCCTCTAGGGAGGAGGCACTTTATTACAAGTGCTTCTCCATAAAGCTGATGGCAGACACGTTGGAAGGTGGCCCCTTCATCCTCTCCTGCTGGCCTCCCCTCCCTTCCCTCTTCCCCCTTCCCCATCTCTCCTCCCCTTCCCCATCCCCCCTGCCCCTTCCTTCTCCTCCCTCCCTCCCTCTCTCCTCCCCCTCTCCCCTCCCCATCCCCTCCCTCTCTCCTCCCCATTTCCCCTTTCTCCTCCCCGTCTCCCTTCCTCTTCCTCCCCTGCCCTCCCAGCCCTTCCCTCCCTCACCCTCTCCTCCCTCGTGGCCCCTTTGTTCTGGTTCCTTTGCAACAAGGCCTGATACCGCGGTCAAATCAAAAGGTCATGGCGCCTCCTTCCCTGGGCTTTACTGCCTTCGAATGATGTGACCCTGGGTAAGGGGGCTTCCCAGCCTCTTCAGCGGAGTGGCTGGGAACAATGCTTCTGCCAGCGTCACTGCGAGGGAGGCGACAGTGCAACCCCAGATGAAGGGCAGCCAGGGAGTGGCACTGTCACGGCGGCCGCAGTGCTGGGCACAGGCGAGGGGGGGTGGGGACCCGCCTGCCTCAGTGGCACCAGCTCCAAGACGGAAGAGGGAGAGGGTCGGAGGGTGGAGGGTCCCCCCAGAGGGGTGGGCAGGCGGGCAGGCGCAGGGAGGAGTGGGCGGCATGAATCGCACACACTCTCAGGAGACAACAACTTTAAATCTTAATTGGTTGCCTTTTAAATATCATTTAAGGGCTGACTTCCCCGCCTCTCTCTAGTTAAGGAGTCGTGTTAAACTCTTCCCCTTGCTGGGTGTCCCTCCCTTATGTAAAAAAAAGGAAAGGATAGAAAAAAAAAAGGAAAAAAAATGGAACCATCAGTGCCTGTTGGAGGGTCGATAAAGCTTTTAGATTTGGAGGCCTGTCCGGGAGCCCGTTTCCCGCGGCTAAGGGTTGTTAATGGAGCTCCAGGAATGATCTCGGCATCTCTGCCGTATTTCTCCGCGCGGCTCCCCTGGCGGCGCGGAGATGCTTCTGTCAGACTCGCTTAATGAAAAGTAACGCGCCGCTGATTACGGTTTTATTCGGGCTGGATGCAAAGAGCGCCGCTAATTTAGCGTCCCTTCCTTGGCGTGTTTGAATTCGCCACGCCTGAGTGGCCGGGACCGTCGGCCCGCGCCCCTCGCAGCGCAGTTCCTGTCCTGGCAGCGACCCCCGCACGGAGCGCGACAGCTCCCCGCCCCCAGCCAGGGTGCAGCTCGCCCCCGCCCCCCACGCCCCCGGCCCGGGATGCCCTCCTCCCCGGCCCCCAACACGGGGTCCTCCTCGCCTGACCCCAGTCCGTGCAGGGCCGCAGGGCGGCGAAGGGGTCCGCGGCGAGCCTTCCAGAGTGGGGTCCCGCAGGGAAGGGACGTGGGTCCTCAAAGCGACAGCCCCGCCTCACCATCCTTGAGGGCGAAGAGTCCCTGGCGTGTGGCTGATCCCCCACCCAACTGGATGTCCATGTCGCACAGTTTTGCAGTTTGATCCAGTAAACCACTTTCGGTCAGCCATTCCCTGGGAGACAGAGGGCTGGTGGGGCGAGGGGCGGGGGAGGGGCTCCTGCCGCGCGGGGGCCTGTGGGGAACCCAAGGTCGGCTGGGCGGCATCAGGTGGCCCTGGGCCCTGGGCTCGCCCCGGGGAAGGAGTCCGGCGTCCACACCCGCCGGGCGTGTCGCCCATGAGCGCCGCGGGCACCCCCCTGCCCAGCCTCCTTCTGCGGCCCAGGACCGGCTCTGTGCAGGGCGGGCTGGGGCGCGCGGGGCCGCCCTCCACAGCATTAAGATTCCCGGCGCCCCAGCCGCGGCCGCCGGCCTCCCCCGAGACTCCACTCTCGCTATTACTGTCAAGTACCCTTGACTCTTTATTTTTGCCCTTTTATCTATTACAACTAATGCGAGTTCCTTTGCCCTTTTCAGTCTAAGACGTGGGCTTTCTGCAAAGCCTCCCCCTGCCAGCGAGCTCTCAGAGCGCGGAGCCTTTAGAAATTGAGGGGTTTACTGTCAAAATGAAAATTTCACTTCAAATTATCTTGGCTGATGCTCGCTCGCCAGGCCGGGTGCTCCCGCCGCAGCCTTTTGACAGGCACATCAGCGGCGAGCTTCCGACTCTCGATAATATCATCCCGGAGAGCGAAAGTCAATACGGTGACAGCGCGGGCGGATACAATCCAATTACCGCGGCGCGGGGCAGGCCTCGGCTCGCGGTGGGCCCGCTGCCCAGGGTCCGGGGATCGAGGTGCCACCACCGAGTCGGAGGTCGGTGCACCTCCGGCCGTCAGGGTCCCACCGCGGGGAGCGCCCACTGCAGCTTCCGAGGCCGGTTCCCTCTCTCGCCTCCGCGCCCCCTTTCCAGCGTTCCCCTCCTGCCCGCGGCCTTTCCCAGGGGTGCGGGGCCCCCTAGGGCCCCCCCAGTGAGGTCCCATCCAGCCCCGGGCTCGCGTGTCCCTCCAAGCTGCCCGCGGCCATCAGCGTCCCCAGCGAGGCGTATGAGCGGCTGCCCCTCTGTCCTTGTCCCGGGCAGGGCCACCTTCGCCTGGTCGCTGCACGCTCTCGGCCGCTCCACGCGTTCAGGTTCGCTGGCTCTGCTACCCAGACTCCTCGGACGCCTGGCACACGAACGGGCCCATCAAAGCCTCAGGTTGAGGGCTTGCAGGCAAGGGGCGACCCCGAAGCCACAGCACACTGAGCTCCCCACGGCCTGGAGGAGCCAGGCGCCTGCGGGGACAGAAGCGAGGGGAGGGAGCCAGCGATTTTCCCGCAGTTCAGAGCTGCTGGAGGACAGCGAGCTCGGCTCTGGGGTCGGGGTGGGGTAACCGGGCTTGTGAGCAGATCCCGGGGTCTGCACGGTGCGGGAACCTAGGCGAGGTGGGCGGGCCCGCGTCCCTCCAGCCCGATCCCTGGTCCCTCCAAGCCACGCCAGCGGCCCTTCCTTCCAGCCCCGATTCTGGGGTGCGGCCCACTGAGTACATCCCCTCTTGGAGCCACAGCCCGACAACTTTCCGAGGAGACTGGCAGCCGGTGGTCGGCCTGGAGGGAGAGGAGGCGGCGTTAGGAGGTGGGTGGTAGGGAAGGCCGCCCCCAGTCCGGCGACGGAGGGTGTGGGCAGTCAACAGCAGAAGGGCCTTGGGGCAGTTATGGCCCCTCTCCCCCTCCTCCACCAGGGCACAGTCCAAGGGACTTTAGGAAGTGTAAAAGTCATTCTAATCTAGCCAAAGGACTTGTATTTTCTCAAAATCCTGGATTCTGGCAATGGGAACAAATTTTAAAGTTTTGGGTCTCTCATCCACTTCTGTTAGAGTTCAACAGAATCTTGAATGCTTACTGTGACTTCTTCTAAAAAAAGGCTTCACATACATCTTAGGCTCTGCAAGCAGCTCCACCTGGGGTTCAGCGACCCCTCTCGCACCCCATCCCACCCTTCCCTTGAGATGTGCACTTTCTTGCAAGTTCTCAGACCTGTAAGGCTGACGTGTTCATTTGGCAATGCAAACACCATCATTCTGTTTTATTGGTTTTGTTATACTAGCCTCTGAAGCAGGCAATTACTGGTGTGAACATACATGTAAAAAAACATAACTTTACCGCCTTAATAGTGTGCAATAGTGTAAACTCGGTGGAAGTGCTGTTGGTGAAAATCATGTGCTGAGGATGGCATCAGAAGGCCGGCAGGTGGAGGAGTCTTCACAGGGACACCAGCACGCCTCAAACCCAGAGGACGCAGCAGAAGCAGCTCAGAACGGAAGTGTCTTCTCCATGTAAACTTTTGGACGTAAACTTTATGCTTATGGCGGCTCCCTCCTGCTCTGAGAGCAGCCCTAACCACCGAGTCCCCCAGTTTGGGAATGACCCCAGATGGGATCCTGTCCGGGTGCGGCCCGCAGGCCTGGTGGGACGGCCCTAGGGACTTGTCCACTGGCCAGGAGACTGAGTTTAGATCCTCCCTCTATGGTGGGCTGGCTGCCTGAGCTTCGCCGAGCTCTTCCTTTGCTTTGGAAACTCGGTAGAAAGCGAGTCTGTGATGGGACAGCCTGCAGCCTGAGTGACAGCTCCCTCCTCGGCTCAGGGGCCTGCCCAACTTAGGCGCAGAAGGGCTTACCGCTGGCAGTGCCATCAATGGCTGGCGTGTCATGGGGCACAGGCGGGAAGGTGCTTGCCAGCACGTTGGCGCCCGCCCCCAGTGAGCGCCCCAGCGGCCCTGGGTCCAGGAGGGCGCCCTTGGCGGTGGCCCAGGCCTGGTTCAAAGTGCTATGTCTGAGGATGGGGTCGTGAAAGACCCCGTCCACCCAGTTTCTGAGACTGGTTACCGGGGAGTCCTGGTGTCTGTCAGGGACACCGCCGGTGGCTGGGGCCACAGGCGAGGACAAGGCAGGCGCCAAGGAGGCGGCTGCAGGTGCGGAGGGGCCTTGGCGCCTGAGCATGCATGACGGAAACTCAGTCTGGTTTAGGGTGGAGGCGGCGGCTGCGGTCGCCGTCTGTGCCAGGGACCAGATGCGAGGCTTGGCCTCAGGACCTGATGTTGCCCCAGCCGGCGAAAACCCCAGCTTGGCCTCACAGGCCTGCGGGCCGCCCCCAGCGCCAGGCGGCTGCTCCGGCCTGCCCGCTGAGTTCCGGAGGCAGCTCCGGGCCCTCTCCAGGTCCTGGTCCAAGGCAGCCCCACCCCCAGCAGCGAGGGGCATCCGGAGAGCGACCGAGGCCTCCTTTCCCGGGATGCTGGGGCCTTCAGGTGTGGCACGCACCCGCTCCCGGATGCTGTTTGGGGGCTGGAAGGGCGGCTTCAGCTCACACTCTGGGGGCTCCCCCTCAAGCGGGTCGAAGTCCTCCAAGTCGCTGAGCTCCAGATCCTTCTCCTCTTTGCCCACTGACTCTGCCCAGGAGGGAGGGAGAGGCCAGGGGAAGGAGAGAGGACTCAGAACCCCATCTCCTCCTTCCCAACAGCCCATGGGTGTGCGGCCCCTGGAACTCGGGAGAACACCCACCACCTTCCGCCCCACCTTTCTCCCCTGGATGTTCCCCGTCCCCATGCTGGTGACACGGGCCAAGCAGTTTCCACGTCCATCAGTGGGGGTGGGGTACTATCCTGGTTCAACGTCTTGGGGGCACAGAACCGGCCTGGGAGGCCCCGCTCCAGCCCCAGCCCCAGCAGAGCAGTCTTGGTGCCCACCTTCATTCCTGGTGCTCTCGAGAGGCTCCCCCCGGCCTTCCTCCTCAGCCCCCTCTTCCTCCTCGCCCTCCCCGTAGGGCCGCTTCTCATCAGGGCACTTGTTCCGTGGCGGCCACGTCATCTTGTTCTCCTTCTTGAGGCGCCGGCGCGCGTTGGCGAACCAGGTGGAGACCTGCGTGAGGGTCATCTTGGTGATGATGGCCAGCATGATCTTCTCGCCCTTGGTGGGGTATGGGTTCTTGCGGTGCTCCTGCAGCCAGGCCTTGAGCGTGCTGGTGGTCTCGCGCGTGGCGTTCTTCCGCCGCGTGCCGCTGTCCATGGTCCCGTACCTGGAGACAGGCTGGGCAATGGGGTGCCGCCGCGGGCCGCTGCGGTGGGGCCCTGCGGTGGGCCGGGCCCATGAGGGCTTCCAGGCCAGGTGGCTGGGTTGTGCTCATGGTGGTGAGACCCTGGGCCCGGCCCAGCCCCGATGCTCCCAGGCACTGCCTTTTGCGGCCCAAGGGCAAAGATGTTTATGTTTGGTTAAACTTACACAGAGCCGGGTCACCTTCCTGAGCCAGAGGTCACAGGGCAGCCAGGCGCAAGGCCAAACCAGGGCCCTGTCACTTTACCTACACAAATATTCCTTCCAGTGCCTTACCGGACTCTCCCACCATTCTGATCCGCAAACCAAGAAAGCGTATCACTGAGATTGGAACCCACTACTTAACATGGGTGCAAATATAGTCATTGGTGCCTATGGGGAGCAGGTGCCCAGAGGGCTCATGTAGACTTTCTGCAGTAAGTTTGTCATTAGCGCCCCACCGAAGCTGGGGCATGCTGTCTGCGCGTGGGCAAGGACTCCCGTCTCCGGTTCCCAGTGTAGGAGGTGCCGAGCTGGGCGCCAACACATCGTGGGGCTGCACTTCCATCTGCCAGGGAGGCGCCCGGAAAACCACAGCACAGCGAGGCTTGGGAGTCTGCACAGCGTGCGGGGGGAGGGAAAGGAGGCTGGGAATGCATTTCAGCCCGGGAAGCAGGTGGTCGCCCCTGGACAGGGCTGGGACTAACCCAAGGTCAGCTGGAGCCCTACAGAGAAATGTCCTAGCTCCTGCTGTCCAGCCTCTCAGAGGGGCATCGGGCTGGGCGGTGGGTGGTGTTGGCTGCCAGGGGCTCAGGGCCTGGGCCTGGCACGGGGAGGGCCTATCCCTCACCTGTCATAGGGGTACTGGCCCAGCGCAGGCTCATAGGGGTAGTAGGCAGCGGTGGCAGGTGCAAGGCCCGCGTGTGCAGATCCTGGGCCTTCCTTGGAGTCGAAGCCGCTCTGTGGGAGGCCAAGAGCCTGGGATTGCAGCTTAGGGGACCCTCCCCTCCCCCTGTGTCCTGCAACTCCACACAGAACCCTGGGCAGCCCCACACCTGGCCTGTCCTCAGGCTGTCCCCCGGCCCAGGAGGCGAAGGGGCCCCAACACCTACAGGGGGACTAGCGAGGTTGGGGGCGATGCAGTATGGAAGAAAGGATGAGATTGGAGTGGGGAGGGGCGAGGGGCAGGGACAGCGGAGGAGGGAGGTGAGTGGCCCTGTTGGGTGAGGACCAGGAGGGGAAGGGAGGAGGGGGCGAAGAGGAGCTGGGGGTCGGCGAGGGAGCGCAGGCAGGAGGAGGGCTGGGAAGAGTGGGCGGGGGCGTGTGGGGACAGCCGGGCACGAGCGGCGGGGTGGACAGCAGGCTCCCAGCAGCCACCAGGCTGGGTCAGAAGACCGGGGCCTGGCCCGAGGGCTAGGCGGTGTTCCGAGGGGCCAGGCCAGGAGGTCGGCCTAGGCGTCCGTCCCCCACCTCTGTAGGCCACGGTCGGGAAGAGCGAGTCTGACAAACCGAGGGTTAGGGCCCGGCGCGTGGGGCAGGCTTGGCACGCGCTCCCGGCCCTTACCAGCGAGTAGAAGGCGGACGCCTCGGAGCCGTAGGTCACATAGTTGCCATAGCCCTGCGAGCCGCCGTAGGGGCCCCCGTAGACGCCCAGCGCCGCCGCCGAGTTGAGTTCGTGGCGCGCGGTGGCCAGCAGCCGGCTCTCGTAGACCGGGCAGTAGACGGGCGCCTGGGCCGAGGCAGCGGGCCCGGAGTCAGCCAGCGTGCGGCCCCCCGACTCGCAGCACGTGCTCAGGGCGTTGGTGGTCATCAGGAACTGAGGAGGAGACCGCGGAGAAGGAGGGCAGCCGCGCGGGGGGCCGGGGCCCAGGGCCGCCTCCCCACCAAGAGCCTCGCGAGAGGGCGCGCCGGCCCGGGCCCGGAGGGTCCACGCCCCGCCCAGAGGCCGCTCAGGGGCCACGGTCCTCCCGGGCCCTGGACCCTCCCGCGGCGCGGCCTCGGAGTCCCGGGCGGGGGCGAGGAGCAGGCAAAGAGGGGAACGGGGGTCCCGCCCCGCCCCGGTGGCCTTCCCAGGCTCCTGCCCTCTCCGGGCTGCGTGCGAGGGGCGCGTGGCGCGGGCCCTGACCGCCGGGAAGCCACCCCGGGTCGCCGGCAGCCCGCGCGCCGGTGAGTCCGGCGGCGTCCCCCGCGGCCCCGAGGGGGGCCCCTCACCTGGGGTGCCGACGAATACGGGTATCCAAACTGCGGGTAGGACATGGCGGGCGCGGCCCGGAGCCGGCGGGCGGGGCCGGCTGGGTGCTGCGCGCGGGGCCCAGAGCGGCGCCGCCACTGCTCGGGAGCCGCCGGCTCCTAGGCGCTGGGAGGGCGAAACCAGAGAGCCGATCAGCCCGTCCGCGCGCCACGCGAACTTTCCAGAGCGCGAAGGAAAGTGGGCCGCGGCGGCCGCGAACGTCCTTGCAGCCCCACGGCGCCGAGGGGGGCTCTGGGACCGACCGGCCTCACAGCGGCGACACAAATACATATTTTGCAAAAAAGAAAAAAAAAAAGACGAGTCGCGCGAACCCGTCAAGTCAGCTGCGCGGCTGTAAGCAGCGGGGCTCTGACGTCAGCCGCGCGGAACCGGCCTGGCTGCGGAGCGCGGGTCACTCGGCCGGGCCGCGGGGCGGGGACAGACGGGCGCCTCGGGCACCAACGAACCGCTCCCGTCCGAGCCCCGACGCGCGGGGTTCTCCTTAGGCACCGCGGACGGCAGCCACCTTTAATTAGCAATTAATTAATGAGCAGCTGCTCCGTCCCACCCCGCTGTAATCATTACTTTCAATTACAAATGAGACATTGGAAGGGACACCCAAGTGAGGGTTCACTGAATTGTAATCAACAGTTAAAATTAGCCCCACGCCGGCGCGGGCGGCGGGCCGGGCTTCGTCTCCAGGTCGCACCGAGGCGGCGCGGCAGGCCGGCGTGCGGGCCCTGCTATTGTTTCCCGGAGAGTCAGCCCGGCTCCAGGGCCCGAGGCGGCGCCAAGAGCGTCCGCGTCTGGAGGCCAGAACGTCCCCGCGCTGTGCGTCCCGGGCTTCCCCGATGCCGGCCACCCCAGGCCTCGGTGGCCCAAGAATTGCGGGGCTCGGCCACCTCAGGAGTCCCCGTGGTTGGGATCGTCCCCCACCCTCGGCCCCGCCCGTTCCTCTAAGTTCTTGCTCAAGCGGGGCCGTCCTCTCAGCCTCCCCTGCCCCTCGCGGCTGAACCCGGGACTGCCAGGTGGGTCTGCACGCTCCGAAGCGCAGGTTTCCCGACGCAGCCCCGGGAGCCCCTCCCGCCGCGCTGGCTCCTCCCGGCGACCTTCGGGGTAGGTACGGGGAAGGGGGCGCCGGGCGCGGGGCCGAGGCCTCCTTCCCCGCCCGTTCTAAGTAGCTTCCTGCCCCGGGCGCACGGAGAGGTCTTGGGAGAAGACCGAGTGCCTGCTTCCGGACTCTCCTAGCCAGTCCCTGTCCCTTGGACCTTGCCCGAGTCCGAGGAAGAGGCCAGCGCGCGGGCGGCAAGGGAGCGCCCGGGCACTCCGAATTCGCTTCCCGCCATTTGCGCCGCCGCCCTCCAGGGGCCTGGGCTCGTCCTTGCTGCCCGCTCCGCTAGGCCGCCCGCGGTCTGCCGGGAAGGAAGCCGTGCGCCACGGCGCTGTGCAGACTTGCTCGGAAAGCTTCCTGGGTTCAGACCTGCGGATCGCCCCAGGGTCACCCTCTAATTAATGATGACGTTCTCGCCCTCTCCCCAGCTGCAAACCTGCCTCCCAGAAACGAAATCTGCCCGCTCTGACAGCTCGGTTGAAGGTGATTGATGACTATCTGGAGACCACAGTGCGCATCATATAATATCTGCTGCGTAATTGCTGTAATTTACAGATGAAAATACGCGTTCTCCGATCGAGTTGGCCCGCAGCCGGCCACGTCCGAGCCGCTCGCAAAAGAGAATCATCGGAAATAATGAATAGCTGCTTCATGCAAATTATTCAGACAGTTTAAGCGTCTGTAGCCGGGAGAGATATATAAAGAACACGAGTCAAATGACATTAATAATTGTGTTTGAATTCTGTATTGATTTCACGGAGGCCCTGCTTCTTTCTTTCTCACCTGAATTGCTAATATCACCTTCCCGTAAATAATAAGAAACTAGCCGACGGGGCTTCTGGCAGAAATGCGTCTTCCCGTCTCCCTCCCTCTTACCCCTCTGCTCCTTCCCTCCCCTCCTCCCTCCTCCCAACTGCTCCCAGTTTTCCGTGCCTGCCCAGGCTTTGCAGAACCCCTTCTGCCTCCCATTATTTATTGTTTACAAACAACGCGCTCCCTGCTGGTAATGAGGCCGGGCCGAGGGTGGGGCGTGAGCGAGGGAGGTCGAGGGCGCAGGGAGCTGGAGTCGCGGTAGAAGGATGCATTTGGCAGCCATTCCTCACCCATTCCCGTGGCCCCAGCCAGGGCGATTGTGAGCGCTCAGCCAGCTGGGGACGTAAGCCGCCGCCCCGCGTCCCAGCGGCCAGCGCCTCGGGGCCCCGGCTTGCAGCGCGCGGCACCCCAGGCCTGCTTAGCACATGCCCTTCCCCGGAGACCCAGGCCACAACGTGGAGACTTGTGCCCCTGAACACGCGACTGCCCATCTGTGCAGACTCGATCGACCTCAGAGACCTGGAGGGTGCATTCTCCACTTCCCTTGGGGAGGGGTTTCAGGGGCTTCCTTTGGCCCCCCACTGCAACGTTCTGTTTTCCTCTCTGGCCTGCGTGGGTGAACAGACACTCCACTCCCAGTCCTCACCCGCTGGCTCGGTTCTCGCAGGCGCCCAGCCAGGCTCTCTTTTCCGATGATCCAGAAATCTAGCTCACCGATTACAGTATCCCAGGCCGCTGCACACTGACCCTCCGCTTCCTGCCCTAGGCCCAGGCCGGCCACCCTGTGTGCGGAAGCTCAGCGCAGCCAGAGTGGCCTGGCGACCTTGTGGGCCTCTCACCCCAAAGGCCCCCCTACCCAATCCTGGATGAAGGGTCAGCCCAGCCTGTCTCCATCCCCGGCGTCCCGCTGACAAACTGCACTCGGGAGGAGGCTGGCCTGCCTGAGCCGGGGTACTTTCTGGGCCGTCTTTGTCCTATAGATCCTGCGGGAATAATGATCCAAGTGCCCTTTCCTAAAAGGCCAGGCCTTGAGCAGAGGCTACCGGTTTCCCTTACAGGAATAGGAGTGTCAACATGTCAGATGCCGGCTACGTGGGCCTTCAGCGCCCACCTCCCAGCAGGGGCCTCCGGTTCTGAATACATACGTGAGCGGGGGCCCCCCGGAAGCCGTGCGGTTCCCGGCGGTCCGGGCAGCAGCTGGGCTTGACGAGGTGCCCCCACTGGCCCGCTTAGTTCGGCAGGGGCTGGGGACAAGGGGGCCTGGGACGTTTAGCCTCAAATGTTAGAGGTCCGAAAGTCGCCCTTCTTGCCAGGGATGATGTTGGCCGGTGGAACAGTGGAAGGCCTCTGGGGCAACAGGCCTCACCCTGACCTCCTCCCGCTACCTGTGGGGCTTCCCCTGCGCCCAGCCGAGGTGTCCCCGCCTTCCAGGCGGCTTCCGGAATCCTCTCCCGGGGCCAGCCCAGTTGCTCGCACCGTGAGGGAGCCGCGGGGAGCTCTCTACACCCACGCTAGGCTGCCGGCAGGCGGAGGGCGGGGGCGCAGCGCGCGGCACCCTGCAGGGCCTTCTCTCCCGAGGCGCGGGGACCAACCCTCGGGGTGCCTGTGCTCGCCCACTGCTCGCGGCCCCTGGGCAGAGCGTGGGCCCCATAGCGTTCGAGAATGCTCGCCGCGCTCGCGAATCCGGAGGTTGGCAGACCGCTCCTTGCCGCCGGTCCTCTAGGGTCGCGGGGCGAGCCGCAGGCGCGCGCGTTCATCCCCCCCTCCTACGCCTCCATTCCTGCCGGCTTCCTCGGCCCTCCCGCCGCGCCCCGCCGCTCGCAGCAGGCTCCGCCCGAGCCGGGAAGGCGCGCAGCCGGAGCGCCACGCAGCCCCCACGTTGTTCCCCGCGCCACCGCCCGCACCCCCTTTTCCGCAACTTGCAGCAAGCGCAGCGGCCCGCAGAGACCCCTCGGGCGGACCGCAAACTTTGTGCCCTGCAGGTTAGGAGCGATTCCAGCAAAGTTTGCGCGGCCGAGCCCACTCCCTACCTGAGCTGGGGACGCGCCGCCCGCGCCGCTCGGGCGCCGGGGCCGCGGGGAGCAGCGCGCAGCCCGGGACGCTCCCGGGAGTCGCCGCAGCCGCCGTCGCCCGCGCCCCTCGGCGGCCGCGCGGAGCCTCCGCCTCCCCGGCAGGGGGGAGGGGTCTCGGAGCCCCGGGGCGGGGGCGGGCGCGCGGACCTCGCCTACCTGCGGCGGCGCCGGGACGCTACCGGCAGCCCGTGAGGGCTCTGCGCCGCCGCTCGGCGCGCGCGCTCCACCGGAAAGCAGGCGACAACTAATGGAGACATTTCCAGGCGGAGCACCTGGCGAGCGGAGCGCGCCGGCGTCCCCAGGCGCCGCGGCCGTCAGCCGAGCCCGCACCGGCGTGACGTGGGCCAGCCAGCGCGCTGCTCCCACCCGGCCGCCCATTAACGCTTTCCCCCGCGGGCGCTGCGCACTTGCCAACTTTCCCTTCCACCCGGCCAGCGCGCGGGGCGCATGGGGAGTAGGGTCTGGATGAGGGACGCGTGAGGGCGGGGGCAGGCGCGCCGGGCTCTGCGAGGACACCCAGTCGTAAGAGGGAGGCAGGGAGGCACGCCACCGTCAGGCCGAATGCTCCGCCCGCAGTGTGGCCCAGGAGGCCTTGGGCTCCCCCAGGGCTGCCGGGGGCGGAGGAGCTGAGCCCAGAAACAGCTTCCCTAGTTACTGACTGCAGTTCCCCCAAGTGTCCCTTAGCCATGTTATCTCCACCTCGGAGACCTCCTTGATGACATGGTTGTGTGCAGCCCCCAAGCTGGGGGCCTGCTTCTTGAAACAGGCTGGGTGCCCAGGCTCTGGGACCTTACTTTTCTTCCCTGCCCCCCACCCCATTCCCCATTTACAGGAGCCCAGCTTCTCCTGTTGTTGCTGTCCACACTGGTCCGCACCCACTCAGGCTGCAGGAAGCAGCAGATCTCCTCGTTGAGGGCACCAGGACTTATGCAAGTAGAGGTAGGTACACCAAGGTGACAGAAACTAGTTGGTGGCCAGCAAGCCTGTTCCCTGCCCAGGACTAGTGGGCCTGGAAGGGGAGATTTTACAAGGAGGTCCAGTGCCCTGCTGGGCTGGGCCTCTGGCCTGGGAACACACCTCCACAAGGTCAGCCTGTGGCTTCTGCAGCCTAAAGCCAGAAAGGAAGGTGTGCATGTGGGTGCCAGGTCCTGGGCCACCCTGACCCTCATTCAGCCAGCCTGGAACCCCTTGCCCTCGTCGCCCTCATCATTTTCACTTCAAAGAACCACAAACTTGTTTCCCCTCATGAAATGTGGCTGTGCAATGACATTCGAAGTTTGTTGACTTGGATAATGTCCCAGAGTTATTTGCTGTTTACCCCTTTCTTCCAAGCGCTCTGCAGCGGCTGCAAAGGCAATGTGCTCGCCTGGCTGACAGTCCACGGGGATAGTGTCCCTCCCCTCCCCCACAGGGTCTGGGAGCAGCACTTCTGGAAGGCCAGAGCAGCAATTCCCAATGCCAGCCAGGTGCTGAGGCCAGGGCTTCCAGAGGTTTCTCCAGGCAGGACACAGCTTTGGTCTCTGGGTCTGCTCTGGAGCCGGGAAGGTGGGCCTCATCTGGGCTACAGACCCATACACCTCCACCCAGACGCACATGTCAGCATAGCCCAAGCTGGGTCCCCAGGCTGGTGGAGAGGGGTTCTGGGAGGGGTGCCCTCTGCACAGGGACTCCCAGGCTGGTGGGGGGTTTGCAGCCCGAAGGCAGTGGAGGAGGTGCATTAGCACCTGGGCTGAGGGCTTGCTTGCATCCCTGCCCGGCTGGGCAACTGCCTTCACCCTCTGCTCCAGGCCCTGCAGGGTCTCCTGAGGGCTCTGGGGCCAACAGGAACACGCGTGTCAGTCTCTCCCTGCAAAGCTTTCCCGGGACTTAGATTCCTCTCATAGCTAGAGATAAGTGAGGCACGTTCGTGTTTACAGCCTTGATTTGGAGATGAACTCGTTTGCATTTTCTAGCAATGAAAACAGGAATAGACATCTGAGAAACATCAAGACCCTGCTGGCTGTGTGGGGGCTCCCTGTGCCTGGGGTTTCTGGAGTTGAGCACCACTGGGTGCCCAGAGTCAGCATGAGCCTGGAGGAGCTTGAGCAGCGGGGCTGCTGTGGGGCTGCATTCCCTGGGAGGGGTCTCCTCGCACTCGGCTCCCCTAAAGCCTGTTTGCAGTGTCCTGCCATTTGATGCTGCCAGGCCTGACCTTGGCCTGGATCCCTGACTGAGGACTGGACGCATCAGCAGCCATCCTCTGACCCTAGCCCTTGACCTCTTGTGCAGGGTGGTGGGCTGCCCCACCTTGGCTACAGTGTTGGGAGGGCCTCCTGGGTTGGTGCTCTGAGGAAAGGATGGAAATACCCCAGATCTTGTCTAAGGGCCTGGCAGGGAAGTCCCTCCTTGGCATCCCCGTGAGTGATCAGCCCAGAAGGTGAGGGCCATTTCTGAGGGACAGAAGTCCTCCCAGGGCTGGTCGGTCTGAGGGTGGGCGCTGGCACATGCCTGGGCAGCAACCCTGCCCCCACTTGCTCCCTGATGCATTTGTGGTCTCTCAACGCCTCCTTTGTTTTTCTTGCTGGCAGAGCGGTCCAGTGCAACCTGAAACAAAAGACTCTGTGTCCCCAGGGCTTGGCCCTGCTGCCACCTCCTCCTCCTCACCTGGAGTTGCTGCAACATGCAGAGGCATCTAGCGGGTGAAATCGCTGTGCTGGGGCTGACTGGGCCAGCTCTGACGCTGCCCGGTACCTGTCACCGCCATGGGGTCCAGTCTCCTCCTGCCCTGAGAAGGAGCTTCCTCCCTGATCCTCTCCAGAGACTCAGGAGGAGCAAGAGTCTCCTCCCCAGGTCAACAAGGAGGCTGCAGGAACTGGTCCTGAGAGAGGACGGCCTCCCTGGGATCATGGAGCACCAATACCCCACACATGCCCTTTTCCTGGGACGGGCTCCACCTTTGGTGCTGACCTAGTAGCAGGGCAGCGTTCCAGGGCCCAGATCCTTAGGGTGCAGAGTGGGGAGCAGCATCTTTAATTTTCAAAAAGTTGCCTTTGAAAAATGCCACCTCCTAGGGTGGCAGGGGTAGTTCTTCTCACTTCCCTTCCCTCTTTGGCAGCCAGAGGTGGAATGTCTGAAAGCATAAAGCCCAAGAGGTTGCTTTTTAAAACAGAATCGTGTTTGGGGCAGGGCCCACTAGCTGTGGCCTGGCCGCAGCTCTGCGGTGCCTACAGTCCTGCACAGTGACCTCCAGGGGTGAGCTCCACGCCTGCACTGCCCCATCTTCCTCTCCTGCTTTTCTGTCTTCCTGAGACTGGAAGGAGGCCGAGAGAGCCGAAGCCAGAAAGCATTTTCTTTCTCCTCACTTCTGGAATAAGAGGTCACATCCGTGATGCTCAAATGCATCAGCAGATGGTAGGTATGTTAAAAAATGTAAACGTGAATCCTAAATGTATGGGCTAGTGTTTGTGCAAAGGACCTCAAAAATATTTAACCTCAGATAAGGAGCCTCACTGGGTGGCCTGCCTGGGATTTGCACCAAGAAAGAACATACCCTGCAGAGGAGAGAGGGAAGGCATGGCTGCTCCCTGCTTTCACTTACGTGTTCTGTTCTTAGCAATTGCAAAAAATACTTCCACAAATAGAAGGTGACAAGATACCAAATGGCGTTTGCACAGGCCAATAAGTAATAGGAGAAAGAGGTGACTGAGTGGGAGTGCGATAGCATCTACGTCCATCGGCCTCTCAGAGCAAGGCAGTGTGACCCTCTCCCCTGGCTCCCGGGCACTTGATCTGTGATTTGGCATTCGACCTCTGCTCCAGCCCTCCCAGTCGGGGCCCCTGGAGGCCGTGCGTGTCCACTCAGCGTGCACCCAGTGCGCCCAACAGCACACGAGTCGGGGTACGACAGCCCATGTTGGCCGCTGACTGCGTCATGCCTGCAGTGGTGCGGTGGACCGCCCTTGTGTTTATGCCCTGTGAAGCCTGGGTGTCCCTTCCGGGGAGCTTCAGGAGCATGTGCAGCCACCCAAAGCAGTCCTGATGGGGAGCTTCCTCCCTGATCCTGGCCTCCAGGGAATGGTGCAGGTGCCTTGGCAAATCTCAGTGTGGCTGGGGGCCACAGTGCTCCAGCAGTGACCAGCAAAGGTGCGGGCTTTCAATTACGGCAGCAGGAAATTACACAAACGCCCTCTGGAAGTCAGCTCGTTTTTATAGAAAAAGCTGTTTCACAGTATTTTTGAAATTCAGTTAATTGAAGGCCCCAGATAAAAGGAACACCTTCTCAATGGCTATAAAATAACCCTGAGGTGGGAGAGGGAGCCACAGAGCCTGACTTCAAAGAGACTGAAATACTTACTGTTTCCCTTTAAAAGCACCTCAGTGACTCAGTCAAAATTACTTATGCGTTTGGCAACCTTTTCATTTCTAATGGAAATGACAGACAGACGTCAGTGGCCGGCGCTCCTGAACAGGGGCTTCGGTCAGGACGGTGGTCAGAAGCATGTCTGCTCCCCGGTGGGGACCCGAGGTGAGTGTGAGCCTCCGGGAAACCAACTTGCTCTTCTTCCACGGGCTGTGCTGGTGTCCTGGGGGCTGAGGTCGAGCACCACAAACCGCTGCTGAAGCCGCAGCATTTGCTCCCTCGGATCTGCCCGCTGGGAGTGGTGTCAGCAGGCAGGTCGCGGCAAGGTCAGGAGAGAGGCCATCCGGGCTGCCCCAGCCCCTGTGACTCCCTGCCTGCCCTGGGGGTACTTGTGGAGGCCTCCCCTGTGTACTGGCTTTGCTCTTACATGACCCTCTCCCTGCATGTCTGTCTCTGTGTCCAGGGTTCCCTGCTAAGGACACTGGTCCTGTTGGATGAGGTCGGCTCACTCCAATACCATGTCATTCTTACTAAGTACATCTCCAGTGACTCTATTTCCAAACAAGGAAGTCCTGGGGATTAGACCTTCAACAAGGCGTTTAGGGGCACACATTCAGCCTATGACAGAGGGGGCAGGAAGTGCCATGCCTGGGCCTCAGTTTATTTCATTACATTGACCCCCCACTGCCTCACCACCAGGTCAGGGGACCATTTCTCCCCCAGCAGTCACTGAGCCCTTCACCCCTGTCTCATCTGGGGCTCTCTGCTACCCCTCAGCCCTGGAGGGGCTCCATGAGAAGCGGTACCCAGCTCTCTCTTCCCCTTGGACAAAGGGCTGCGTGGGTGCTGTGTGTCTGTGTCCTCCTCCACGGGGATCAAGAGGGTTGGGATTTAAAAAGAACTGTCCTGATTAGCAGGCTGAGCAGCATCTGGCCCAGGGCTGGCACCTGCCAAACAAGGTGTGAAGGGGCCCCTGCATCCGAGGGGCAGAAGCCGAGAGATGCATGGACTCTTCCTAAAGGAAGGCCAGCAGGCGGACGGGAGCGGCACCTGTTCACTCCACATGAGCACCTTCCAGGTCCCAGAGCCTCTCGAAGCTCCCTGGGGCATGCAGCAGGCAGAAGGGAGGTGCCTGTCCCATGTGGCCAGAGAGGCAGCACGGGCAGTGAGTAAACTCGGGAGCTGACTAAGCGAGTGGGCACCAGGTCAGGTATCTGGGGCAACATGGCCGAAATACTGTGGCTTAGCTTGTCCGGGAGGCCCTCTTCCCCCCTGGAGCACTGTGGGGCCAGCCACTGTTGGTTTTATTCTCTTCTTGTCCCTTCCAGTGTGAGCTGGCACATTTTTTGATGGAAGCACTTTCTCTAGAACTGTGGTGGGTGGTGGCTTCTGTGGATCTCACCGGGGTTCACTCCATTAGACCAGGCTTTTCCAGATGACCCCTCTCTTTCTGGGCATCCTGCAGAGACGCCTGAGAAATAGCAGCTGCTTTGTGGCTGACTTCTCTTACCCTTGTCTTCCTGAGGTTTTGGCAAAAGGCTGCGTGGTCATGGGGGTGTCACTGGACCCTCCTAGTTATGATCTCACTAGACCTTTCCTGTCTGAGGTTGCTCCATCTTGGTGGTGCCTGACCAGGGCATTGTGTAGGCGTGGGCACCCATGCTGCCAGCCAGCACAGGAGCCCTCTCCTGGCCACAGCTGGTGGATCGCACTCTGCTGCCACCCTGGAGTGACCCTGTGACCGCCCAGCCAATGAGATGTGACCTGCACTGCTCTCTTCCACCTGCGGTGGCACACAGCAGCACGCCCCTGGGCAGAGGCTCCCACAGCCTGGCTTCATGCACAGCACAGCGCAGTCGGGGCCCCGGCTGGGGGGACAAGAGCGGGAATCAGCTTCTGTTTGAGCCGCTGAGATATTGGGACTGTGACGGAATGTCTCCTCACTGACAAAGCTATTTTTTTTGCAAGTCAGATTGATGATGTTGTAATGTAATTGTATATTATTGTGGGATTATGCTATAATTATGAACTATATGATTATAATTTTATGTTATTATGTAGGTATATCTATAATTTTCAATGCAGAGAAAGCAGCTGAACAGAAACATTATCTTAAAGGGCAAATATAATGTTAAGGAAAAATACACAATACCAATAAAGGCTGAAGGGAAAATTAGGCATCCTTTTGTTACTGCCATAGTCATGAAAAAACATTTCCAGGAAAGTTAACTTACACATGAATCTCTTACATCTATGAACGTTCCTAGCACCCTCTGGCCTCAAAGCTTTGCCCTGCGAAGTCCCTTGAAGTGCAGCTTGGACCTGGCTGTCTACTGGGGCAGAGCTCTGGGCTCCAGGTACTGGGCTGACCACAAAGAGTGAGGGGGGGTAGCAAAAAGACTGTTCAGATGGCTCTCAGAGCTTACAGAAAAGTGACAAAACAGCATTTGAAGCCAGCAGCCCAAATGCACAAAGAACTAGAGAAATTCTAAGATAAGACTAATATTAATAGTATTAATAATAATATGTTAAAATTACTAGTAGCAATATTAATATCAAATATCAGCATTAAGTAACAAATTGTGTATTTTATGTAACATTTAATAATTCAATATTTATTAATATTAAATAATGACATTTAATATCATCTATTGTGTCTTTTGTGTAACAAATATTTTGACAGTCAAATCTATCATTTTTTCCTTTACCTATTTAGTTTTGTTTTAGAGTTGAGTTGCCCAATCTTCTTCCATTTTTATAATTCCAATCTTCACCTTAAGGCTTTTGATTCACCTGAGGTTTATGTTTTTTATCATATGGTGTGAGGCAGGGATCAATATTTCTCTGCAGCAGCAGCCATTTTCCATATGATCACTCACCAAAAATGTGTTCTTTACTACATGGATTGCAGCCTATCTTTCTGTTCCTTGGATGTAACTGTAACCAAAGTCTGTTGTCATAAAACAACTGCTTAAGCCTCACAGGTGTTGATCCTGTAAGAGGAGCACATACCCACACTGATCTTGACGATGGGCATGATGGGGTGCAGACGGGCTGGTGGCACTGGTGGCTGGCTGCCTGCAGATCTCTGCGGGGCAGAGCTGCTCACTGGTCAGCACCTCACCCATGCTGCCACTGAGAGGTGGCTGCCCAGCTGGCGTCACCCCTCCAGCCTCCCCTGCAGCCGAGAGTGGGCCCTGAACAGGTTTCTGTCACTGATGTGAGGGAGGGTGATGCATTGTCCTCCACACACCTGATTTGAAGGGAACCTCTGATCCTCTGCTTCCTACCTTCTGGTCCCCCATTGCTGGGAAGTGGTAACAGTTAGTCATGCTGCATCCAGAGATAGAAGTGGTGTCTGGAGTCTGGCAGAGCCACCCTACTGCGCGCCCACCCCTTCAGTCTCTGATGGAAGAGAGGACAGCTGCTGTTGGCCTGTTCTTTGCATGACGGCAGCTTAGCCTTCCCCAGACTGGGGTCTCGGCTTGACCTAGGGCAGTGCGGTCTGGATGGTCAAGGTGGGGAGGAGCCGTGAGTGGCTTTCTGCTGGCTAGGTGGGTGGGAGACAGAGAAGGAAGCATCAGAGAGGATTCGGGGCCTGCCTGTATGTGGGGTGCATGGTGGCACCATGTGTAAACTGGGGTTCAAGGGAGGAGGCTCTGGTCTGAACGGCTGAAGGCCGTGGCTGGGGGCCTGCAGGTGCACTTCGCCCAAGCCTCTCCACTCTTCTGCATATTGATTTTCTATACACTAGATTTCCATAGAAAGGTGGTGGGGTTTCTGGGGAAAAATAAGGCATTTGCAAAGGCGGCCTGATGTGGTGAGTTAGTAGGTGGTTCCAAGCAGATTTCCTTTGCATTTAGCATCTGATAAAATGGGACTAAACAGTTAATGTCAGACTTTCTGGAAACAGGGCTTCTGGCCCCCATCCACCTTCTCTGTTAGCATTTGCCTTAACGCTGGTGGTCCTCATGCCCACGGATGTTCCCTGCCTGCTAACTAAGGCAGTCGTGGGCTGGGGCCTGAGTCTCCCGGACACACAGTGTGCCCATCCAGAGCCCCACGCGGTGGGTGCACCGTGAGTCTGGGCATTGCCTGCCAGTGGGGGCCCCTTGGGGATACTCACCTGCTTCTCTGGGGTCTGGGGACAGGTCTGCAGGCCTCTTGAGGCCAGCTGCTTCCTCAGAGATGTCAGAAGATCCCTATTACCTGGACACCAAACATCACCCCAAAGTTTGCAGACTCAATTCCAACTTCCAAAAAGGCCACCATATTTAAAAACCCTGTGTCTGAGGATTTGTTCTAGTTTCATCATACACGAAATGGGCTTCTCTATATTAAAAAGCATTGTCCTGGGAGTTGATTCCTGGAGCTTGCATGGGCCTGAGGACTGGGACAAATTGCTCTGCTCCACAATAAAAAACAACAACTCAGCTTTAGGCTGGCCTTTCTCTGGGAGTGGCCCTCAGGGCTGGAACAGTGCCCGGTGGCCTGGGACACCTGCTCTCAGCCTGCAGGCTCAGGCCCATTCCCTTTCCATTGCTGTCCTGCTGCAGGGAAAGAAGTTGTCAGGACCTCTCTGGGGCACATTTGGTCACCAGGAGAGGGTAGGAGATGGGGCATCAGAGGCTTTGCTCTCCGGGCTGCCTGGTTAATGCTGTGATAGACTGCAGGTTCTCTGACTTTGGAATCCTGGTCAAACTCCTGGGCCTCTAGGGCAGGCTCAGGGCCTGCTGAGGCTCCAGCTCTCACCATTGGGCCGTGTCTTGTGGGGGAAGACTTCTGGGTGGGAGGGCATGATTCCTGGCAGGTCCCGGTGGACTGCCATCCTGATCTTGGACTCCCAGAGCCCCCACCCTCCTGCACCTCCTCATGGTAACACTGACTCTTGGGGACCTTGTTATACCTTTTTTTTAAGGGGAGGGGGAGGGGCTGTCATTTTGGTCAGTGGAAGCCCTTCGAGCACCAGGAGTCTGGCCATCACCTTGGCCACCAGTTGGCAGAAGAGGGACCTTGTTTGGGACTTCTGCTGTCCACAATTTAGATTCCACAACATTGGGAAAAGGTTGCTGGTTTTCTCTTTAATTCTTAACAATTTTTTCAGGACTGGCAGGGTAGCCTGTGCTCAGTGGTCTGAAGGGTCATGGGCTCTGAGAAGTTGTCTATGGACTAAAAAAATTCAAAACACTTTGACCGGGTAATTTGAAATCTTGCATTTTGTCCAAATCTCTCTCTGCAGCTACCAGGAGATGGAGAAGTTTAGAGAAACAGAAAAGTCTACTGTTATCCACAGCCAAACACTCCATGGAAAACAACAGGGTGAATTACAGAGGCAGAGATATTTTCAGAAGAAACTCAGAAATGGAATGTTTGCAATCGATTTGAAATGGGTTAAGTGTTTTCCTGTGAATCCTAGTAAGTTGGTTCAATATTGAGAGTCCTGGCTGGCAGGGCAGGCAGGCGTTGCTGTCAGGTGGCCGAGCGAGATTGCTCTGCTGGCTGCGGGTCCTGGAAGCAGGTGCTCAGCAGAAAATCAATTGGCATCTTCCTAGCCTCGCTGCCTCTGGGATCTTGTTTTCAGTTATGTGTGTTTACTTCTGATTTGCTTTTTCTGATGTCGCCATTTTACAGCTTGCTTCCCACCCTGGTATGGCCTTGGCTAGACCCCCCCACCTCACAATCTTTTGGAGCACTGTGGCACTGACCGCATGCCATGATGGTGTGTACTTGGCTGTTCTTGGACGGCTGCTGCAGAGTTAAATTCCACTCCATTGCGTGGAATTTCCAGCAGACTTCAAGAATCTTGGTGCTCAACCATGGTTCCATTTTTGTCTGGCCCCCACCCACCCTCATGGGAAGTATCCTGTCAGCAGCCAGGGAAGCCTCTGTGGGCTCAGAGGCAGGAAATGTGGTGGGCAGGCTTGCGGGGCCCGGGGGTCTGGGGCCATACCCTCGCTCAGCACATGCTGCGCCTGGCTCCCGGAGGTGTGAAGAGGCCGAGCCGCACCTGCTGCTCCGTGGGCTCCAGGACCCAGTCACCGAGATGCAGGGCCCTCCAGCCGCTGGCCACAGGGGCACCTTGAGGACGGACGGTAGTCAGGGCTCAAGTCTCCACCCATCACTCTGATGCTCAGTCTAGAAAATGGAAGCACAGGGTGTGAAGGCCTGAGCTTTCTCTCATCCCAACTCCACGTTTTAAAGCTATTTCTCATGGGAAATCCCAGACATCTACAAAAACAGACTAGAATGGAGAGGACACACAGGGGCCTGCCAAGCAGGGTCAGCCCTTGCCTAACTCAGGGCAGATGCCACTGCACCCCTCAGCCCGTTTGCTGCAAAGCAAATGCACAGCCTCATGGCTGGAGACGCTCAGATGCGTCTCTGGGGGATGGAGGCTTATAAAACATCCCCAGGACAAACACCAGACCCAGACCGATGAATGACCCCTCCAGAGCCTCAGACACACAGTCAGTGGCCCCCTTTCCTTGTTTGTGCCCTATGTGTGCGACCTCGGGACTCAGGCCATGTGCTGTGTGTGGCTGGTGTGTCTCCAGTCTCCACGTATTTAGGTGACCAACCTTATCTTTTGTCTGACGTGCTGTCGTCATGGAAGAGGAACTGGGTGTTTATCATGTGGCTTCTCCCATGTCGTGTTTGCGACCCTGTCCTCGTGCAATCAGCCGGCACGCTCCTCAGTCCCCTGTACTTTACATAAATTGGCAGTTGGTCCAGAAGTCTGGTCAGATGTGGGCTCAGTGTTCAGTGGGTGAGACTACTTCAGGGGTGGTGTGCACCCGTGAGAACTCACACCCATGGATCCCTGCCGGGGTCTGCAGAACGGTGCTGCTCGCATCCTGCCAGCGTTTCCTCGTCTGCTGGCTGGAGTCCTCTGCAAGGAGCCGCTTGCTCTGGTCAACCATAGCTCCTGGGTACATGGCAGGGGACATGGGTGAATACTGGATCGATGTCTTAGAACCCCCAAAGGTGAGAGCTAAGGGTTTTTTTGAGAGTCAGTGTCACCGCCTGGATTTGAACAAGGTTTGCATGTCGTCCTGTCGGGGGACCACGGCCGGCCACCAGGCTCTTCCCATGGGCTGCAGCCTAGCTCAGGAGACTGTCACCACGCAGAGGGTATACTTCCATTTTTCATCCACATTTTCTATTTCTTACATTGTATTTGTTGTTGAGTAATGTCCCTATCCGTACAAGGAAATAGTACTTTATATGAGGGCTAATATTGTATGGTAGCTATCAAGCAAACACGTTTTCCTTTCTCAAAATGACTGTTGCCACTCTCTTGGGGTTGCTAGTGGACCTCTGTTCTCACGAGCCCTTTGCAAGGACAGCTCAGAGTTCATGGCAATGAGCCAACCCAGCCCTGGGTCCTGTGGGAGCACATGGGGTGAGCGCTACAGGTGAATTGTGGCCTGGCACCTGGCTGAGGGGAGACTGGAGCAGACGGTAGGTGTGGTATATGGCCTGTGGGCTCTTGTTGTACCTGACGCACCAGGAAGTGGGATGGTTTTGAGAAACACGAATATGAAATCCTGTGTGGGTCAGAACACAGATTCCCCCAACTGGAAACCTGTCAGTGGGGCTGCCTCGCTGGGGGGAGCTGTACCCTGGGGGTCAGGGCAGGGAGTCAGCCACCTCACTAGCTCCCCCTCCTGCGGCCCCTGGGCCAATCCAGTCAGGGCTCACTGGGACCATGCTCCCTGGGTGGTTCCCCAGGCAGCCCCGGATGGCGGCGCATGTGCAGTGCCACCTCCATACAGAGGCTGATGGCAGAGCAACCACAGGCCGAGGAGGGCAAAGGGGGGTCTTCCCCATAACTCCCCCTTTCTGAGAGCCTGGTCACGTGCCTTGATCCTCTCATTTAGTATTTCAACAGAAATAGCCATTTGGTTAAAGAGGGAAGCTTGCTCGAGTTCCCAGTGGGCATGTCGGCCGCGTGGCAGGCCCCCCAGGCCCTGGCTGGGGGACGAGCTGGCGGCGAGGGCGCCCTTGTACCCCTGCAGGTCCTGCTTATCCCCTGAGCCTCTTTACTCCGAACCTGTAGCAAAGCTTCCTGGAACAACAGCTCTCTCATACAAACTCGATTGATTTTATGGTGCTCAGAAATGTTTTTCATAAGCACCTCATTGGAAAAACATTCTTCAGTAGGGCCTGCCAGCAAGTTGACTTAGAAAGGGATTGAACTCACTCAACCACTTCTCCACGGCTTAGTCAACTGTCCCGTTTCTGAGACTCCAGGAAGGTCCAGTTGGTACCTGGCATCATTGTGCACCACTGGAAAGGCTGACACAGTGCCAGCCCACACTGGGGCACAGTCAGCCCACTGCCGGGCTGGAGACAAACCCTAGGGCACCACCACCATCCCTTTCCCAGGGCCCAGGCCACAAGCCCCAAGAGGGCTTACAGCCTAGCTCAGGCCCCGGAGAGAAGCAGGCTCTGGATAAATGCATCTGCAGGAAGAAATCAATGACTTCATTCATTTGCAGTCATGTCCACTCCCAGCCAACATGGCTCTGGGGCAACTCTGAGTGGCTTACCTTCCCCCTCGCTGGCCAGTCCCAGTCTGCTCTGATGCCAGCCCTTCCCCCATGTGCCTCTGTGAGCTCAGCACTAAGGACCAGGCCCCCTGGCTCAGCCAGTCACCACACTCCCCTTTCCCACCCCAGGGACTGCTCCAGGACTGTGTTAGTTAGCTGCTACCTTGACAGACTGCTCCAAGACCTAGCAGCTGAGGACAACACCCCATTATAAGCTCCAAGTTTCAGGGGTTGTACCTGGGCACAGCCTAGTGGGGCCTCTCCTTCAGGGCCTCTCACAAGGCTGCGAGCCAGTGGCCAAGGCTGTGGTGTTGTCTGAAGGCTGGTGGGGAGAGAGCTGGGTCCAAGGCCACTTATCCGGTGTGGGCAGGGTTCAGCTCCTGGGGTTTGGACCGAGAGCCACAGTCCCTCTTGTGCAAAGGCCACCCTCAGGTCCTGAGCAGGTGGGCCTGCCAGATGGCACTGTCAGTCAGGGTGACACATGGAGAGAGAAAATGTGAGCGGGCCGGAAGTCACGGTCATGCATAGCCTAATCTCAGAAGTGACAGGCTGTCACTGCCACATTCTCTTTGCTGTGGGTAAGTCACTGGGTCCAACTCATGCTCTGGGGGAGGGCGTGAGACCAGGAGCCTGGGCCGCTGGGAGCCACTTGAGAGGCTGCTGGTCACAAGCCTGAGCATGTGATATGGTGCTGGCCACTGGGAGGTAAGGGGATGTCAGCTCAGGGCTCTGGAAAACGTTTCTTTGTGATAAAAAGTGCCACAAAGGGTGGGCCTCTCTTTCTGCTGGAAGGCTCTATCTGGAGGTGACCTCTGGAATGGCCTGGGGAGGTGGCGCCAGGCAGGCAGAGAAATGGCACCATGCCCTGCCCCTGCCTGTCCCTGCCAGCTCGCCCCCTCTGTGGCACCTTCCCAGACTTCCTCTGCACACAGATGTGGTGGGTCAGGCATCCCCCCAGCCAGCCAGATCCCTAACCCCATGTAGACGGGGTGCCTGACAGACCTGGGGGAATGTTCTATTGCCACCATTAAACCCAGTTCGTCAAGAGTGGGTTAAGATAATTGCAATTACAATTAAACAGTTAAGTCTAGTTCTTAGACTCAGTTTTGTCCCTAGGTTTAGTTGGTCGCTGCTGACACCTGGCTACCTGGGTCGGTAGGTTGAGTGCATAGTGAATAGTTCTGTGCACGAGGAGAGGGGAGGGGAGATGACGACTGTCTGCTGCCCCCTGGAACTGGCTGTGGCATCAGACCCCACCTTGGATGAACTACACGTCAGGGGCCTCGAAGCCTTTGGGAGCAAGCCAGGAAGGGAGGAAAGCCCCCAGCAACGGAGAAGGCTTGAGCCCCCACCATGCAGTCCCAGCTACCTGCGGGGCAGCTGCTGCGCGGGCGGCTCGGCAAGGTGTGGCGCTTTGGTGCCCGTCTCTGCTCCTCACGTGAGTCCTGCGTGCACACGCGTGGGCGTGCACCTACAGAGGGGCGTCACAGGAGGCACATGAGGGCAGCACCGGTTTTCCTCTGGAGGGCACACTTTCCCGAGGCCTGGCTCTGGAGCACGTGGTGCCACCCCAGTGAGCTGCCAGCGGGGCCAGAGCCGAGTGTGATGGGGAGGCTGCCTGAGACAGGTGGTCAGAGAGCCTGGCAGAGCTGAGGGACAGAGGATTGGGTGGACAGAGCTGCCAGGCCAAAGGCCTGGTTCAGGCTGCATGCTGGAGGGCCGCGAGCGAGGGGGGCAGAGGGAGAGGGAGGCCAGGCGCAGGCCTGGGCTGTGGTGAGGGGCTGCGTTCTGGGCCAGGGTTGCTGGGAGCACAGAAAGATTCAAAATCAGTGATGATATTTGTGGTTTACGGGAAAGGCGGTTCATGGCCTCTGGGTGTGGAGGTGGGGCGCCGGGGCAGAGGCAGGGGTAGCTCTCAGGCTGGTGGTGCTGGCTGGCGCCTGGGGGAGATCCCGAGTGCCCCTTGTTGCTTACACCTAACAGCCAACGTCTGCATGACTGCTTGGAGACACGGATCTAGAAAGACAATCCCGGAAGTCTGCGCGTCTTAGCTCACGAGGCGGGCCCGGCGCCGAGGCAGCTGACACTGAGAGGACCCCTGGGCCGGGCCTCACAGTGCTGCTGGGGATCTGGAGCCCACGGGGGCAGCTCTCCATCCTGGTGGGGCATCGCAGGCATGCAGCAGGCAACTTCCGTTTGGGGTCAGGGCTCCTATAAGGTCAGTATGAGTTGCTGATGCCCTCTGGAGTCTTTTGGGGGCTCAGCAGAAACGTGTTGGCACATGTGATTGATTTGGTCAGTGTTTGCTGAGTCCAGGCATCCTCTCCTGCCAGAGCCACATTCCTGCCTGCCTTGGGTTGGCAAGGCCAGGAGGCTGGCTCTGGGGGCACTCGGTGCCACTCCTGGGCAGGCCTGGGTGCTCTGCCCTTGTAACCTCTCACTGTTGGCCCAGCTCACAATGGACTTCACTTGAATGACAAATTGCAAACTTGCTGACAAATCTCAAATTAGATTGTGGGGTGAATGACTGCAGAAGCTACTCTAGCTCATCTTGACAATTACACAGTAGATGAGGCCTCGCCTGGGCACCGCAGTATCACACAGAGATACAAGATGTCATGGGAAAGTGTGCATGTGTGCCCCACGGACACCACAGGCCCAGCTCCATCTGGGATCTACCAACCTACATGGGGGCCCATTTTCTGTTATGTCTACTTTACCATCCCCCCTCCTCAAATTTATTTAAGTCTGTTTATTCTGAAATTACAATGCTTGAAATTTAAATTACAGATGGTTGGTGTACTAATTCAGAAATGAAAATTGTGGGTTTGTAAGTAAGACCCATGTTCATTTGAGACCATCTTAGAAAAATCACTAGTAATTTAACATGTGCCAGAACAAAACTCAGCTCTCTTTAGAGGAAGATAGTGGAATCCAGAGTCTACACAACATATTGCATCGCCCAGTATACAAGCACGAATCACGGGACATTGTCTACAGGTGAAAACAGGGCGACTAGATTTGCACCCCTGGTAATTCAGATGTTGAAATGGCAGACAAAACCGCATCAAGTTAGCATCACCATCATATGCAGATAATGAGCGGGCCCCCAGGGGCTGTCCTGAGGCCAGTGCCCCCCACCCCACCCCAGGAAGCCAAGGCCAGGTGAACTCGTTGCTGTGCCTGCTGTGTGGTGCATCCTGTGGCCATCACACACAGAAGTCTCCTGGGACGGCCACCACATAGCGGGGCCCCTCCGCTGCTCCGATGTGCCTGTCCTCATGATGGAGGCAACTCCTGGGCCTGCCCACTCCTCTCACCTTTTGCAGCCAGCACCTCCCCATCTGATGGCGGTTTCTTTCCCAGGAGCTTGGCATCTGTCTTCTTGTCCGTGCTTGGCCCCACCAATACCCCTTTATCCTGTTTCTGGCTGGTTAGTGCTTTGGAAGCATTTTGCTCTGAGGTTTTATATTCTCTGATAATGGTGGTTTGAACTTTTTTGGGGGAGATCAGGGACCCTCTTGGGAATCTAGTGAAAATGCAGAGCCATTGTGAAAAACATACAACTCCACGAATTTGCACACGGCTTTTGCAGGTCACTTTGGAGAGCAGAGGGTCAACATCTGAGTGCTGCTTAGCAACACCCTGTAACCCAGTGCCCACTGCCCACACAGCCTGGCTATTGGGTCTGACCACGGCTGCAGACCCTTAGTTCCATGGTGCTGTGGGTGACAAAGAAAAGATCTGGGGACACAAACCTTGGCTGAGTAGTTGCTGGCCTGCAGGGGCAGTTCTGCATCCCGTGTGAGGAAATGGCCCTCACCTTGGGCTTCTCTCGACTCCAGCAAGGACAGGTTTGCTCCTTAAGGCTGCCGTCCCCCATCCCTGGTGTCTTGATTGCTCGGGTTACCGTCTGGCCATCAGGGTGTCTTCCTCCTGGAGGCAGGCACACCTTCCTGCTATGTGGTTCTGCACTGCTCACTTTTTGAGAAGAACTAGACACCCTGCCCAGCACGATGGCTGCAGTCAGGAGAGCTAGTCCTGAGCTCAGCTGGACCCCCTGCCCACAATCTCTGATCTGTCCCAGGGATCAGGGCCACCCCCACCTGAAGAAGCCCTGCTGTCTTCGGTCACACCCAGCGCCTCGGATGTGGCCAAATGCTCCCTCTCTGCACGGAACTGCAGAGGCTTGGCTGAGGCAGCAGGCAGAGCCCCCTGCTGTTCGTACACCCTGTCCTTGTCCTCTGTCCCTGAGAGCCAAACTCTCTGATTTGTGATCATTTTCCCCAAGCTTGAACAGAGTAGTGAGCATTTGATTTATGGGAATCAATGCATGTGGTGGCATTGAGGACCCTATCACTGACCCTCTTCTCCAGAAGTTGGGGGTGGAGGGGTGCTGGCAGCCTCTGCAACTCTGGCTAAATGGGGCACATGGCCAGCACAACCCCAGCCAGGCCATGCCCAGTGATGGCCCTCGGCGCTTGCTGGGAGGATGGAAGCTCCCAGGCCCTTACTCTGTCCTGGCTGCATCGCTCCACAGGGCTGTGAGGTCCATGGGTGAGGCCTGAGAGCTGGGCGTGACATGCTGAAGCCTCATCTCTGGTGGGGGTGCCCTCAGCCCTGTGGGCACTGTTGGCATGCCTGCCCCCCAGGGCTTCCCTCACCGCGTGCTGGCTTGGGGGGAACCAGAAGGCAGGAGCAGGAAGCTCTGAGCAGGAGCCAGGTTGGTTCCTCTGACCCCAGCCTTGCCCCTCACCTGCTGTGGGATCTACCCTCCTTCCTAGACCCTCCACTTCCGTGTCCTGCACAATGGGATTCCTTCTGTTGAGATGCAAGCACAGCCTAGACCAAGCATGCCCCAAAGCTGCGGGTGAGGCCCCTCCTGGGGTCTTCCGGACTCAGACTGCTGGGGAGCAGAGGCCCGCTGCCAGCCACTCTGCCCGTAGAAGCTGCTTTCAGGGCCTGCGAGGTGCAAGCCTCCCTGGGGGTCCAGGCGACCCTCTGCACCCAGACGCACACCCTGGGGGCTGGGACTGGGGGCAGCAGCTTCCCCTGGAGCCACCCCTCACCAGGCTTGGGGTGGTAGAGCCCTGGTCCTGCTGGCCCTGGGAGCCGTGCAGCGTGGTCCGCACCCCCTCATGGGCAGCAGTGCTGGGTCTCTCCACCCCTGGGAGGAGCTCTTCCTCTGTCCGCTCTGGTTTCCATTTTCAGAATTCTCCTACTCCAGGCAGTCCATTTGAGTAGAGCCTGGAGACGTGTTATTACATTGTTAGTTTCCTTCAAGAAAAGGGATTTATAGTAAACAGAGGATCTACGATCTCAAAAGTGCATCTGCTTTAATCCCAAGTATTTCAATTATGCAACAATATTAAATTCGGACTTGTTTGGTCAGGACATGCCTATGATCCCTGGATTCCGGGGCACCGTGGGGAACAGAGAGGTCAGTGCTAAG